CTTCCTTCCTTCCTTCCTTCCTTCCTTCCTTCCTTCCTTCCTTCCTTCCATTTGATTATCTGCAAAAGAAAACTATAATTATGTCTAGCACCTTTTTGTAATTTTTTGAAGGTCAGGGTAGTGATGAATTTGGGGAACTCTTGAGGCTGAAGGACTCTGGATCTTTGCCATTGGTTGAATCTAATGACACCCTTCCTGCCCATACTTTTAATTGCAAGATGGCAAGCATGAACTGCTGGCTTGTGATGAACCATAGCGGGCCACATCTTATAAAAGAGAACCATGCTGTCCATCAGGAGTGGGTGAATGATTCCAATACATCCAAGGCAGAACCACAGAAGAATCTAATTATCCACCCCCAGCCTCCACTGGAGTCCAACTGCAAGGAAGCTAGGCCAGAATGGTGAATCATGTAGAGAACACTGGACAGCCTGCTCTCCATATGCCTATTTTAGCTCACAAGAGTCATTCATTCATTCATTCCTCATGACATGGGAGCAGTACACAATTTGAGAAACAAGGTACTGTGTATCAAGACCAATTTTGAAGTTATGATTTTCTTTAGATGATTTGCATGAAGGGGGTAGAAGAGGAGGACATGGACAGATGAGAGTTGTCCCTGAAGCAAATTCTGTTTTAAACAATTGTAGCTGCAGATTTTTTCAAATGGGAAAGAAATGGTAGTCACATATGAATAGGAGAGGAAGAGGATTGTGTCTCTACTTTGGAGAGATTTCATTTTACAGAAGCTTTCAGTGACTTCTCTTCCTCTTCCCTTTAGATTCCGTCTGATATGCAATAAAATCATTTCTCACAAGATGTTTGATCACATCGTCTTGGTTATCATTTTTCTGAACTGTATCACCATTGCAATGGAACGTCCTAAAATTGAACCCTACAGTGCTGTGAGTAGTTGCTAAGCTGTATCACTTCCCAATTAATGTAGCCACCTTGTCGTGCACGCTGAGTTTATGTGGGACTTGTATCAATATTTGTTCTTTCTATTAGTTTCTTTTATCAACAGGAGGTGGAACTCAGAGGGCATGAAAGGGAATAAATGGAGTGAAATTAAATTACTCTGATGTGTACTGAGAGATAGCCCAGGCAAAAGATCAGAGCAGATGTGTGTGGCAGCCGTCTCAGCATACCTTTTCTGTTTGATTACTATCAAGGCTTTATCACCCTGCCTCCCCATCCCACTGAGCTGCAAATTTCTTATAGTTTTTAGAAACATGGGATGTACAGGCCTGTGCTTTTAAAATGATACAATAAGAAGGATTAGTGCACAGCTACTTAAAGGTGTGGTTTGATGTAGTGGTTAAGGCACCAGGCTAGAACCGTGAGTTCTAGGCCTGCCTGAGGCAAAGCCAGCTGGGTGACCTTGGGCCAGTCATTCTCTCTCAGCCCAAGGAAGGAGGCAAGGATAAACTATTTCTGAAAAACCTTGCCAAGAAAACTGCATGGACTAGTCCAGGCAGTCACCAGCAGTCAACACTGACTCAAAAACATACACGCGTGCTTACAGGGAAAAGCATACATTGTTTGTTCAACCCAAAGTACAACATGCAACTTTTTTCTTGGAAACTGCATAGGATGCATTATCCAATACAGCTGATAAAGAAGTGAGTTCAAATATCCTTATCTTCTTTAGCAGAATAGAGAGGGTTAGATATTTAAACCTGATGTGGACCTGGCATTTTTTTCCCCTTGCAAATACAGAGCTTTGAGCAGGTATTATGGGGTCACAGAAGCGAGCCCGCAGGCAGTGCTAGTATCCAAGCAACATCAGCATCTTGACTTGCTAAGTAGGCTCTCCAGCTAAATCCAAGCAACAGTATTCAATTCAGTGGCAAAACTGGCTTCATTCCCCGTCCTGGCGGAATTTGTTGATTTGCCACCGAGCCCTAGCAACTTAGCTGTGCATCTGTCCATTATGGATGCACAGTTAGCCTCCAAGTTAGATTTAAGTGGAAATTCTATTGTGAGTGCTGTTTTCACTCCCTGCTGTTAGACTAGGGGTGTTGGCTACAAATGAAGATCAGGGCTCATCTGTTTGCAATTGTCTGGTTTGGGGTAGGGGTGGGGGGTGGCTTTTAAGAGTGTGTTATTAATTCCAGCAAGCAATGCTCCTTTCCCAACAGTGGAGAAGAAGGAACGGTTTTCACTATTCTTGTTTTTGCCCTGCCAAACTGCCTTTATTCCACTTTGCTGTATCTTAAGAGCAGTATTCATATGCTGAAGGCATCAAGATTTCCTCTTTTTTGGCAGAGGGAGGGGAGGTGCATCCTTTCTCTCACAGCAGAAATAGCTTATTTGATATAATAATTCTGTCTGTCATAATTTTCTTTAATAAATATTCAAAACCTTTTTTTCCTCTGTCTTGGTATAGTCCTGGTTTTTGGTTCTTTGTCTGCGCTGGCATTCCAGTGTGGCAAGGGAAGAGGAGGAGAGAATGATTCCTTTTTGTCATTCTTTTTCTTCACTTATCTCCATCTCAATTCTGATATGAACAAAGATCTTTATTTTAGTTCTCTGTCAGGTATGTTTTGCTAGATTTGCATAACTTCTTTTCCAAGCCAGATCTTCCAAGCAGTCTATCAGTCAAGGACCAACCAGATAACACTCATTAATCTGATTATCCTGTGATTTTATTTCAGTTTATTGTTGCCTGGAAATGCATGTTTACTTGGACATATGCCCCACTGAGTTCGGTGGGGCTTACTTCTGTGTAAGTTTGCTTAGAGGTGCAGATTTAGTAATAGGCAAACCACACACAGAGAGAAAATGTGTTCATTTCAGACAACATACAGTATTTGGGTGCTTATGAATAAAGAAAAATTAATGTTAAATTGCAGATTTGACAAGTTGAATGAGCAGTTATTGTGGCACTCTGGGGTCCTCTGAAATTTGCAGGTGAAACGTCAGTGTCAGCTACTGAAATGCTATATATGTAGAGGACCAGCCACTACAATTTCTGTTTTTTGAGTTTAAGATGTATAACTAGTAACAAGAATGGGTACAGGTAATAAGTTTCACTGGGATGAGTACTTTTCTGTGAGGATTCAAACCATGAAGAAATAGATTTTAGAGGTATTATTATTATTATTATTATTAACATTAACCATGCTGTTGAAGGTACAACCATGATCAATGTTTAGCCAGTCGGTCAGACTTTAGTAGTTGCAAAGTTTCTAACTTGTGCAATTAGGATAAGGAAGTGATTTGATTTTAATTTATATAGGGTCTTTGAGGGTTATGATTAAGAAAGTTTTATAATTTTGTATATTTTAAAATCATATTGGGATTTTGTTATGGTCTATAGACTATTTAAATAAACTGGCTGAACAATGTTTAAGAAACTGTGCTGCATCTTTTTGCTTGCTCAACTTTGCAGAGAAATAGCTTTTGATACCAATATGTCAAATTGCTTTTCCAGCTGGGAGCAGTGTATTAAAATGGAATAATTTGCCGTTAGTAACTAGAAGCAGACGCAACAAGGTTCTAAAATGTTATGCTTGCTTGCTTAAGAGCAAGCCTTCCTACAATGAATGGAACTTGTTTTTGAATACAGAAGTATGCATTCAGAGTCTTGAATCCTTTGCTGTTGACCCGTACTGTTGTCTGTTCTACCATAGACCATTTCTAGCAGAAAGAATGATGTTTCATTGATTTCTAGAAAACATGCCTTTATAGCTTAGCAACTTAATTTGAGTTGTTGCCAAATATATCAGGGGTGGGACACTTTTTTTGTTGACAATTCCATGCCTTTGAGGGATAGTCTAGCAAGGGACACCCCAACTCTTTTCTTTCTCTCTCCCCCTCCCTCTAATTCCTCCCCTCTGAACTCTTCTTTCTTGCCCTGCATATTGCTAAAGGGCTGATGACTCTTGCTGGAGACCTGCACTAATTTTGGGGAAAAGGCTTCTGAGCTTGAGTTAGATAAAGGCCATCAATGACTATAGATTTTCCATCTCTGACTAAAAGCTTTGTTTGAGATCATACCCTGAACTCTCCTCTTGGAGATCTCTCTTTCCATGCTGCCACATGTCAGCAGCTTCATGGCTGAAACTTGATGGTATAATTGCCTGATGGTTTGAAGAAGAAATACATGAAAATTGTTATTATAAAATAAGTGTAATGCTGTAGAATAAATAAAGGAACTTCCCCCAACAGAAAAAGACAGAAAAGCCCAGCCTGACTTTGTGTCACTGCTTGAGGCAATGCGGTCCTCTTATCCCTAAGAAATGTTAAATCTTATCTCTGTCCCCAAGAGGTTGCCTGTCCCTTTGTGAGCCACATGGCATGAAAGAAATATAAGGTTCTGCTTCATCTTTCCCTTTGTATTTGCTTGCAGAAATGATATTAACTAATACATATGCTCAGCGTGCTCTTCGTTAGCCAAACAAGAGCTCAGTTCAGGGAAACAGGAAAGCACGAGAAAGAAATTTACACTTGCCCTGACTTGACTTTTATAACAAATCTTACATGAGAAATTTAGATGGGACATTTTTGAGCTAACAGTCATTATTAACTTTAAAATGCCTATTTTTCTCTCCATATCCCCAATTACACATTGTTAAGGAATTTATTGGGGTACTGTCACACACATTTTAAAATTAGCAACAGCTACCTGATGTCTAGATTGGATGGATTCAGTTAGCCATTTTTCTCCTATAAGAACTGCCAAGGAGCGAGAAAAGTTGTGCTAGTGTAGAAATAGTCTTTTCATTGCATTGGTTCTGGGTTTTCAGAATGATACCAGTCAGTTCAGAATACCAGTGATGTAGATTCTCAAGGAGGCACGCAGCATGTAAGCATGCTGTGATCTAGAGCGAGATATATTTGATTTCTGAGAATTATCAGAATCCTGAGCAAGGCCTAGATTTGGAGGCTAAAGCTAAAGAGATAAGGATAGAATATGGGCAGGTGTAAAAGACAGTCAACTAAAAGCAGCAGTAGTTCACTCTGCAGGTGATTGGAATAGTGAAGTCCAAAAATCAGGAGGATTAAGTGAGAGCCAAGATGATTGGCTGGAGAAAGAATTGCCACTGATATTGAGATAGGGAGAAGTGTTATGGCTTGGCACAAAACAAAAGACAAGTTACAGATATGAACAAACTGGAAGAGTTAGGAATAAATAACAATTGATGTAAATGAATAGCACTACTGGGATAAAAGAGAAACTGGATTCTGAATTCTAGGTTGGTAGAGGATAGTAGAAATCCTCTAAAGAGAGCTTGCTGATGGAGCTATTTAAGGGAGCTGGGTTATGCATCAACTTCTTCTTATGAGTCTGTTGTTGCCTTGAAACTCAAACTGATATTATTTGAACCTCCATTATCTCAAATCAATATTCTTTTGTTTTCCAGGGATTTGGATTGTTTAACTGTCTTAAGCTGTCTCAAATCAACCAGCCTATCACTGCAGGGGGAAGCGGGGTGGAACACTCCTCTAAGCAAAATAAAATCTGTTCTGAGAATCTTTTCTATTTCCAGTAGCACTTTTTTAGTGTCCTCCTTATTTCTTTTGGCATAATTAGAGATTGCAAAAATATTAGTCCAAAAGTAGTGTTTCTCAACCTTGGCAACTTGAAGGTGTGTGGACTTCAACTCCCAGAATTCCCCAGC